TGATTGGACACATTTCGTAGGAAATACAGCTGCTTTGTTAATTCCTTGTCTATAAGATATTGCTTGGTGATTTAATTTTTAATTTTATTTTTTAGTAGCTAAAAGTTAATGACGACTAAAGTTTTTTTGTCATTCTGTTAGTCGCCAAGCCTTGTCGGCAATAGTCATTAGCGACTAAATTGACGTTTTCGGCTATTAAGACTATTTAGTAGCCAAACATAAGGTTTTGCCGACGAAATATTTAGTCGCCGAAAGTAATTAAATCAAAATTAAATTCTCTTTTAACTACTAAAATTTTAGTCGCTAAAATATTTTAATCGTTAATAATAATACATTTACCGACTAAAAAAGTTAGTCACTAATAATAATACATTTATTGACCAAATTGTTTAGTCATTGTTAGTTTTTATGACTAAACATTTTAGTCACCAAAAGATTATATATATTAATTTCATGATATTTTACGACCAAACATTTTAGTCGCCGAAGCATGCCATGTTCTTTCATGACTAAAATATTTAGTCGGCAAAAGTTTCTTCCCTCATATTGATTTATTTTGGCTACTAACTATTTGGTTCCAAAAGTCTTTTGTTTCTTTTTTACTACTAATAATCATGAAAAACCTTTGCTTGCATTTTTGGTTACCAAAATATTTTGCTAAAAATTTTATAATTTTTTTAAAATTAATTTCTCGACCACCTGCATTTATTCTATTATTAATGTAACTTGTACCTTTTATATAAATAAAATAATCTATATACTGATGAAATTAGCAACCAACACTTCCACAACATGCACACATTTCACTTTCAACCATAAAAAAAATTCATATTTAACATCAAATAATAAATGCAATAGAAATTCCATACAATCAAAGTATAATCCAACCTCCAAAAATATAATTCCATACATAACAAAAGATTAAACAAAATTAATATCCAAAAGTTAATCTGTATACCACCAATAACTAATTTGTACCACGGCAAAAGATAATTGGTACCATGCCAAAATAGTAATTTGTACCACGTGAAAAGGTAATTAGTACCGCATCAAAAATTAATTTGTACCACGTTAAAAAGTAAGTTATACCATGCCATACAACTAATCTGTACAAACAATACTAATTTGTAGACTACAAACAATGTCTTTCATACTTATCACAAAAAGTCGTATCCATAATTCCACGCTAAAAACAACCTATACAAATAAAATAAATATTTTATGAAAATATTTACTCTCAGTGATTCGATAAGAGATTTAAAAGAAAATTACCATTCACTAATTTTAAAAAGCTGTCATTTCATTGGAAAGTGGAAGAATGGTTATTTTAGTTTTTCCTCAAAATTATTGCAACAAAGCAAACGCTACATAAATATGTCTACACAATATTTGCATGTTATTTTCTTCAATAACATTTGTGCTAACCAATTAGGTCTCACTACAAATTCTAAGCCATTTTTACATCGTATATGGATGAATATTTCTAGTCAACACATGGTATTATATAATATATTAGTGTTTGATTTACTAGAATGAATGTTATAATTGAATGGTTTAGAATATTTATTTTCATTCTTGGTTCAATAAAAAGAATGAAATTCACATTTCAAATGGAATAACCATTCAACAATTTAGAAAATTGATCATTTCACTAGGAGCCCAAGAAATTGTTATTTAATTTGTGTTTAAAATTATTTTAGTAAATTAAACACTATCTTAAAACATAAGGTTTTGCCGACGAAATATTTAGTCGCCGAAAGTAATTAAATCAAAATTAAATTCTCTTTTAACTACTAAAATTTTAGTCGCTAAAATATTTTAATCGTTAATAATAATACATTTACCGACTAAAAAAGTTAGTCACTAATAATAATACATTTATTGACCAAATTGTTTAGTCATTGTTAGTTTTTATGACTAAACATTTTAGTCACCAAAAGATTATATATATTAATTTCATGATATTTTACGACCAAACATTTTAGTCGCCGAAGCATGCCATGTTCTTTCATGACTAAAATATTTAGTCGGCAAAAGTTTATTCCCTCATATTGATTTATTTTGGCTACTAACTATTTGGTCGCCAAAAGTCTTTTTTTCTTTTTTACTACTAAATAGTCATGAAAAACCTTTGCTTGCATTTTTGGCTACCAATATATTTTGCTAAAAATTTTATAATTTTTTTAAAATTAATTTCTCAACCACCTGCATTTATTCTATTATTAATGTAACATGTACCTTTTATATAAATAAAATAATTCATATACTGATGAAATTAGCAACCAACACTTCCACAACATGCACACATTTCACTTTCAACCATCAAAAAAATTCATATTTAACATCAAATAATAAATTCAATAGAAATTCCATACAATCAAAGTATAATCCAACCTCCAAAAATATAATTCCATACATAACAAAAGATTAAACACAATTAATATCCAAAAGTTAATCTGTACCACCAAAAACTAATTTGTACCACGGCAAAAGATAATCGGTACCATGCCAAAATAGTAATTTGTACCACGTGAAAAGGTAATTAGTACTGCATCAAAAATTAATTTGTACCACGTTTAAAGATAAGCTATACCATGCCATAAAACTAATCTGTACAAACAATACTAATATGTAGACTACGAACAATGTCTTTCATACTTATCACAAAAAGTCGTGTCCATAATTCCACGCTAAAAATTAGGGGTGCAACTTGACCGGGCTCAACCCGAGCAACCCGAACCCGACCCGAATTTTTTTAAGGCTTGGACAAGATATTTTCAAATTTGGTATGGGCTTGGGCAAAATTTCAGAAGCCCGAATTAAATTTGGACGGGTTTGGGCAAAGACATTAAACAATCCGAGCAACCCGAAGTCCGAATTATAAATATATAGTTGGAATTTTTTTTTTGTTTGTTGATGAAAATGATGATGATGTTGTTGCAATTTGTTGATGTTGATGTTGATGTTGATGTTGATGAAGATAATGAACAAGATCTACAGACCCAGCGCGGCAGACCCTTCTTCTTTTTCTTCTCCCTTCTTCTTATTCATCTTCAGAAAAACAACGAAAAAAAAAAAAAATCGTTTTGGTGTCGGGCCATTCGAGCCACGCCTTTTTCGAGCTACCAATCGGAGTTGTTTAAAAAGTATATTTGTTTTAAAGAAGTTTTAAAAACCTCACTAAAGATGAAAATAAACTAAAAAAGATTGCTTATTTTGATTTATTTTTGTGTTTTCTATATTTGTTTTTTGAATTTTTTTGAAAAAGAAAAATTATACTTTTTTGGTACATCTTATCAAGCTGAATCTAAAAACGTAAAACTCTTTCAATAATTTTCAAAAACAAGTACACTAAAGATGATAAAAAAAGGGTATGGCTTCTGTTCGGTCCGAGATAGGACTGGACCGTACTGTTGGGCCCGTGGGGGCGCACCACGGGTCCCGTTTTGATAATCTGAACCGTTAATGTGTAGAACTCGTCGAGTACTATATTCCTGTAAAAAATCACGTTGATCGGATATCGATAGCTATGTGATCAAAACAGTTTTTGTCAACCATTAATTTGTTCACTGTCCAATTTATTTAATACGAAACTGATTTGATCATATAGCTATTGATATCCGATCAACGTGATTTTTTACAGGCGTATAGTACTCGACGATTTCTACACATTGAACGGTTCAGATTATCAAAACGGGACTCGTGGTGGGCCCCCATGGGCCCAATAGTTGGGACAGAAGCCATACCCTTTTTGGGATCAGACCGTGAGGGTATGGCTTCTGTCCAGTCCGGGATCGGACTGGACCGTGCTGTGGGGCCCACCACGGGTCCCATTTTGATAATCTGAACCGTTCAATGTGTAGAAATCGTCGAGTACTATATGCTTGTAAAAAATCACATTGATCGGATATCGATAGCTATGTGATCAAAAACGTTTTTTGTCAACCGTTAATTTGTTCACCCGTTTAATTTTTTTAATACGAAATTGATTTGATCATATAAATATCGATATTCGATCAATGTGATTTTTTTTCGGAATATAGTACTCGACGAATTCTACACATTGAACAGTTCAGATTATCAAAACGGGACCCGTGGTGGGCCCCCACAGACCCGACAGCACGATCCAGTCTGATCCCGGACTGGACAGACGCCATACCCTTTTAAAAAACTGTCATTTCATTGGAAAGTGGAAGAATGGTTATTTAGTTTTTCCTCAAAATTATTGCAACAAAGCAAACGCTACATAAATATGTCTACACATTATTTGCACGTTATTTTCTTCAATAACATTTGTGCTAACCAATTAGGTCTCACTACAAATTCTAAGCCATTTTTACATCGTATATGGATGAATATTTCTAGTCAACACATAGTATTATATAATATATTAGTGTTTGATTTACTTAGAATGAATGTTATAATTGAATGGTTTAGAATATTTATTTTCATTCTTGGTTCAACAAAAAGAATGAAATTCACATTTCAAATGGAATAACCATTCAACAATTTAGAAAATTGATCATTTCACTAGGAGCCCAAGAAATTGTCATTTAATTTATGTTTAAAATTATTTTAGTAAATTAAACACTATCTTAATTCTCCTCTTCTGAAATTATGAATTCCAATGTATTTATAAAAATAAAAATTAAAAAAAAAACAAAAAGAAAGAAAGAAAGAAGGAATAATATGGGAGTTTATCCAAATAATTTCTTATGACCATGCATTCTATTGTCAATATGAATGACAAGGTGCTTCAGTTCTATAAATACAGAATCAGACATAACTCTCTCATATAGGGTGAAACTTATACATTTGTGAGATCTACTTTCACGTGATAGAATTGTATTTAATTTTGTAATCGAATTTTGTGGAGTTAAAATTTTTCTTAGAGATATGTGGGTTTGTTGAATCTTTTGGTATATGGGTAACCATTGCTAACTCCATACTATTATTGCTGGACAAATGCTGGTTTTACAGTTAAACAAAAATTCACATAATAGATTAATTATCTGGTACAAATATTTTTACACACCCAATTAATTTCACAACAAAAATACAATATATGTACACAAACAATAATCACTGACTGCAGTCACTTTTACGAATTAGATCGAAAACAAGAAGAAAAAACATTTTCACACATGATTATGCACGGTCCACAGTGAAATATAAAATAACTGTGGTGGGGAATGATATGGTGAAGCTCACATGTACGTTGTTGCGTGTATAGTTGATTAGATTGCCAAAAATTCACGGTTGTCAATGATTCGAAGTGAGTAGTAGAGGTTGGATCGGGTCAACGGGAAATGTCTGACTTTGTGGTGTAACCCAATTGTTGTTCCATCTCCCAACTTAGCTTTGATGCCACACCAGAGTGTTTTGGAACGTAATCCTACACAATGCATGCATCAAGTAATTAACAAATATGGACGGTTCAAATCATTAGATCATGTAAGTCGTAACTTTTAAATTGAGATATACTTTTAGTTTCACTATTATTTTTAGTGATTTTTTTTAAAAAAAATTTTTAAGTCGAAATAGTTTAGTTTTTAAATCCATCTCTATACCAGACAATCTTAAAAAAAATTAAAATAATGATAATCTACTTTATTATTCAAAGTTGGCACTGGAGTCGGTGCAAACTGTCCACAAACAACATATTCGGTTTCACAAAATTTAAATTTGGGAGTAAACATGAAAGTTAAAATTTTGCATTAATTGCACAAGTAAAGAACGGTTATAATTTGTTTTAATTTTTAAATTTTGAATTTAATCATATACTTTACAACATTATTTCGGTGGATGTAAACAATCTTATACACACGCATTACATTTGCTACCACTTCTAGTTTTAAAAATAAAAAATCAATAAATACAAAAATAAGGAGTTGTTTGGTTTTCCTTTCGGGCTAAATAATCATAAAAGGACAAAAAAAAGTCAAAAAATCACAAAAAGACAAAAAAAATCACCATTCTAAAGCTAAAAAGCCAATCAAGAATGCCAAACGAACAAAGAAGTTCCAAGCTAAAAAAATCAAAAAATCAACTAAAAAAGTCATTGCCAAACGAAGGTTAAGTCAGCTCTTAGTTTTTAGTAAACTTTTTTGAAGTTTTTAAAATTTTTAAGATCAATTAGTTTAGAAAGACTTAAAAAGTAAAGAAATTTAACAAAATTAAAAAAAAAATATTAACTAAAAATGATATTAAAAAAAAAAAGAAAAGAAAAGAAAAGAAGGAAGGGTGGTGTGGGTACCTCAAGCTTGGAGATGAGTTCATGGGCAGTTTGGGCAGAAATGATAATGTGACGAGCAGAGGGGGTGACGAAACCTTCGTCAACAGCCTTGTCTATGAATGATAGAAGTGAGTTGTAGTATCCATCCACGTTCAACAAACCCACCTACATTTTCAATTCAAGTGATAAATTTAATCAACACAAAATTTCACAATTAGATTAATAAGAGATAAGAATTGTCCCATATTTTCATTTGCAGTTTTTTTTATTGATCAGTGGTATCATTGTTGCACTTTATATATTCCTATAACACGGGTAGCTTTCCTCCAACCCGGGCACCAAATATGCAGCAAGCCTAGAGTCTAGAGATTAAAAAAAATCAAAAAATCAAAAAATCAAAAAAATCGACTAAATTGATTGAATCGGATTAAATTGGCTACATTGAGTTTGTTTTTTTTAATAAAAATTAGCCTTTGCGGTTTTTAAATTTGATTTTTCTCAATTTTTGATTCGGTATCGATCCATGTACCTTGTGTACCAAACTAAACCGAAACGTTAGTATTTTTTTATTTTTTTATTTTTTTTTTATTTTTGTTAATCTAGGAATTAAAAAAATGATAAATTAGATATGTTTAAAATGGTAGACAAATAACTAATTTAATATTTTTATATAGATTAGTGATTATATATATATATATATATATTTAAAAGTGACTCAAGTTTGAAAGGTCCTAAGCCAATTAAACTGCACTGAACCGAACTATTTTAATCAGTTCGATTCGGTACAATTTGATGAGAGAAGCGATCTGTATTAATATTCAAAATAATAAAATCGACATTATCGATTCAGTGAATTTTTTTATCTAAATACCGATCCTACCAAATTCATTACACCCCTACTAGAGTCAGACCAAAAATTTTATGGCTCCAAATTTCTTTATTCACATGTTTCAAAATACTGACAGCCACTCTATCACATAATTCTTTTTAAAATTATTTAATGGTTGTGAATTTTTTAAAATAAGAGAACTATGATTTGGGAAAGAAGATCTTGTATGCTACCTTAGGGTTTGTACATTAAGCCTCTGTTTGGCAAGTTGGTTCTTGGATTTTTTTGGCTATTTTAGCCACAAAAAACAAAATAGGCTATTTTAGTCATAACAAACAAAACATCACATCCAACCCATAATCATTACATTCTTCTCTCACAAAAAACTAAAAAAAGCCAAAAAGCCCTTCCCAAACCAAGCTTTTAAGCCCAGGCTAAAATAGCCAAAAAAGCCAAAAAGCCAACCCACTTCCCAAACGGAGGCTAAGTCAATTTAGTTGAGCATCTCTTGTGTTTAACTATTTAAAAATTCATTTAAGATTGATTGTTTATATAAATAAATTAAACTTGAACACATTTAATGCTCATTATTTTTTGAATTCAATATGATAAACTTGTATGCATTTTTTAAAATCAAACTACTCAAATTTAGCTCAATTAAAACTATTTGACTCATTTACCATCCAACCTGAAGTCAACCATGTATTCAACAGTTATGCAAATTTCTCATGTTTAACTACAAATATGTAGTAAGAAAATTTATCACATAATATGAAATTAACTATATATATTACCGGTTTATCATGGATTCCCAGTTGAGCCCAAGTGATGACTTCCAAGAGTTCCTCCAAGGTTCCATATCCACCTGTATATCCAAAAATTAATTAGCCATATTTCTCAAGTAAAAAAATATTATATGATAAAAGATATATAGTTATCTCTTCTACGACTTAAAAAAAAAAATGCTTAATTAATATATATTAATGTATGTCTAGGAGGAAAAAGATTTGGTACACATATAACTTCTAACATAATGCACAAAATAATTGCTCCCGAAACTTGAACCCATAAGCTCAAGGTTATTAGGCTAGCTCTTTTATGACTATCCAGTCAAACTTAGGAGCTTAAGGCCTCGTTTGGGAACCATCTTTTTTAGCTAAAAAGTTAAAAAGTTACTAAATTAGTCAAAAAGCAAACAACCCATACCAAAAAGTCAAAGATTCTCTTTTCTCTCTACTTTTTGCACATCTTTTCGTAAAAAGTCAAAAAGTCATCTCAAACATACTAATTTTTTTTAGCTCATATTTTAGCCAAATAGCCAAAAAGTTACTGAATTAACATGTTTCCAAACGAATTCTCCAATTTTATATTATTTTTGAGACTGTTTTAATTTCTTTGCAAGTTAAATATTCTACATATTTGCATTAGTGATTTTTTTTATTATTATTATAAAATTCAGGTCATTTTATAACATTTCCTGCAAAATCAAGTTGTTTCAAACTTCTTTTTTAAATCTCTATTGCTTTCTAAATCAAGATTAAAAGTCGTATTTCAAAAATAGAGCCTTGATTAATTTATTGTAAAACTCAATAAATTCATGTTTTTCAAATAAGATTTCGGAATTAAAAGCGTGTTTTACTTCAAGCCAAAAGAAATAGTATTTTCAAAATATGATCTCACAAAATAACCTATTTTAAAAAATAAAAAATATTCTTAATAGACTTGCATTACACAAATATGTAATTGGTTTGATGCTATGAAATAAATTACTAAAAAGGTTAAAAAAATTAACAAATATCAAAAGGTCAAATATTTATTTTTATTTACTCTATTTTTTTCATTTTTTTTTATTTATAAAAAATCAAAAAATATTCCAAATACCATGTTTGGTTCCAGAAAATTGAATCCCTCTCACAAAATAACCTATTTTAAAAAATAAAAAATATTCTTAATAGACTTGAATTACACAAATATGTAATTGGTTTGATGCTATGAAATAAACTTCACGGGTGGTTTGGAAACTCAACAAATATCAAAAGGTCAAATATTTATTTTTTTTTTTTTAAGTCAAAAAATTACTAAAAAGGTTAAAAAAATTAACAAATATCAAAAGGTCAAATATTTATTTTTATTTACTCTATTTTTTTCAATTTTTTTTTATTTATAAAAAATCAAAAAATATTCCAAATACCATGTTTGGTTCCAGAAAATTGAATCCACTTTTCAAAAAATTAAGTTTTTTGTTTTCAGTAAATTCTTATTTTTATTTTTAATGAATTTTTAAAATATTTTATGCATTTTTTTATTTTTTAAATACATCTAATCTAAATACGTTTTAAAAATATAATATTTGTAAAAACAAAAAATTAAAAATTCACCAAATACAAAAATATAAAAAAATACAAAACTTTAATATATTTTCGTATTTTGTTATATTCAATGAATTGTTTTAAAGATTTTTGTAACATTTTGTTACCTTTTGAATATATTAAGATTAAGTAAATCTAAAAATTAAAAAAAAAAATTGATTAAAATATTTTAAAAAATCATTATTAAAAATATAAAAATAAAAATTAAAAACTCATAAAACCGTTTTTGAAAACTAAAAACCAAACAAAATTAATTTTTTTCATTTTATATTTTAACCAACAAACTGAAAATTTATAAAAGTTGTGTTTGATTGAAGGATTTGGAGAGAGATTTGGACAAGAAAAAAAAATTATCCGAATAAAATATATTTATATTTTATTTTATTTTATATACCTTTCCTCTTTATTTTTTAAAATTTTTGAACCAAACAAGGCTTAAAAAAAGCATATTTTCAAACGACTACCTGGCAAGGCTATGAAAGCATCGGCTTGTCGAGCCATTTCGGCCTTTCTTTGGTGCATGCCAGAAACAGGTCTTACTTCTCCCACTGTCTCACCCGTGATCTGAAATCATGCAACTTACCTTATAAGTATCTATTAATCAATTTCAACATTAATAATCATCACAAAAATTATAAAACTACATGAATTTCTATATTTTTTTTTTCAACAATGTTACAGACACCAAAAAACACCATCCTCATAATCCCCACTCATCTGTGATTGGTCCAACAAGAAAAGAAAAAACAACAAAAACAAAAAAATAAAACTATATAATTAGTTGACATCATTTTGGCACTCATGAAGTCCCAACTTTGGGAGTGTCAAGTATTTTTTTTTTTTTTTTAAACAATATAAAAGTACATGATTAGTGGGCTCAAGCTCCATGTCTTGTGAACTGTCGTTTTGACTGGTCAAAATATCGTAAAAACTAGTTCAAAAATTTACCAAAAATAAATAAATGCAAGTATGTGATGTTAATTAAAATAAATCTAATTCACATATCTCATTTTCTGATAATTAGCTTTTTCTCTCAGTTTGGTTAGAAATAAAAATTAGTAAAAAGTGAAAGGCAAGAAAACATTTTCTTACAAGTATTTGATTAAGATGAAAATTTTATAAAAAAATGATACAAAAGTTCAAAATTTTAGTTAAAGATAACTTCTTATATATCTAAAAAAAAAAAAGGCAGGAAATTAAATAGTTATTTAAAATGTTAATATTGTTTCTATTTCCCTCACTTTCTATCACTTTCATTTGAAAGAAACTGTAAAGAGAATATACTTTGACTATTGAGTCATGCTAATCACAACTTAATGAATTGTCAACAAAAACAAAAAAAACACACACACACAAAATTAAAATCTCAATAATGCAACTTTTACACATTTTAAAATATTTTTCTGCATTTTATAGATATTTTATACATCTACCAATATTATTTACAGCCCTTTAGGCCCCGTTTGGGAACTTACCTTTTTAGTCAAAAAGTCAAAAAGTTACCTTTTTAGCCAAAAAGCCAACAACTCATACAAAAAAGTCAAAGATTCTCTTTTCTCTCTACTTTTTGCACATCTTTTCGTAATTAGCCAAAAAGTCATCCTAAACATATAAGTTTTTTTTACCTACTTTTTTAGCCAAATAACCAAAAAGTTACTAAATTAGCCTGTTCCCAAACGAAGCCTTAATTGAAATTAGGAGGGAGGAAACAAGTGCAGTGAATTACCTCTCTGGGCATAAGAGTTTTTGGAATCACTCTGCAAAAAAATAAATAATGGAGTTTATGAGTGGAGAAGAGAGAGATGGAGGAGAGAGAGGGAGAGAGAGAAGAAGAAGAAATTACCCTAAGACGTGGCGGCCACCATCATAGACAGCTTGGGAGACTAGACCCATCAACCCAACGCTCCCTCCTCCATACACCAAGTCGATGTTCCTCTCAACCTGCCCATTTATTTATTTATTTATAACTTTATTAATTAATATATTATTCACATAAACACTATGACACGTAACTCAGATTCAACCAAGAACCTTTTCTCTCTCACTCTCTCACTCATTCATGTTTTTCATTCTCATATTTTAATAACAATACTAGGTGATCCGAATTTTCATAAGCCGAATATCTCAAAATAATTTCATTTTGAATGTAAAATGATATCGTTTTAACACATTTGAGTCATCCAAACCACGCAAATTCGGGTAAGGAAGCATTTTTCTATTTTAATTCACTGCCACACAGTTGGATACAACCAGAACGTCCCATCCCCAATTCAAAAAAAACCAAATGGTTCCAAAAAAACACAGAGCCCTTTTGTTGTTAATGTACACTAAACCTAACCCACTAACCTAACCCACTACATCCACCCCACTAAACCTAACACACTTACCATCTCCACTACCACCCACCACCTCCACTACCATCCACTACCACCACTCACTTACCTCACACACTCTCCTATATAATAGCTTGTAACAAACAATCAATATATCAATAAATAATACAATTCTCTATTTCTTTTTATACATTGTATTTTAACATGGTATCAGAGCAAGGTTGAGAAGCTACTAATTCTGCTTCACCGGCGGGCGGCAGCCTCCCCTTAGCCGCCCGAAAATAATTTCATTTTGAATGTAAAACGATATCGTTTTAACATATTCGAGTCATCCAAACCACACAAATTCGGGTAAGGAAGCATTTTTCTATTTTAATTCACTGCCACACAGTTGGATACAACCAGAACGTCCCATACCCAATTCAAAAAAAAACCAAATGGTTCCAAAAAAACACAGAGCCGTTTTGTTCTGTGTTTTAGTCTCTGAAATTCGATTTCACTTTGAAGTAAAAAGAATCACAATAAGAATAAGAATGTTTCTTGGCAATTGTTAATCAATTAATAAGAAGAAAAATAAGAGACTTGTTTTCAAATTCAAATTGTTTCATGAAATTTTAACAAGTGGGAAATGGTTACCAGTTCGTTTCCAAGCTGAATAGCAGCGAGCTGGTAGCTGGGCTTGTTGCCGGGGCTGCTACCGCAGAAAACACATACTCTCTTGAATCTTGATTTCATCTCAGCCTGCGGTGGTTGCCGGTGGTGCTGCGGCGGCTGTTGGTGGTGCTGGTGGTGGTCCATAAGAGAGAAGCCTTTTGCTCTCGCTGTTTTTGCTTCAATTGGGGGAGTTTGATGATTGAGAGAGAGAGAGAGAGAGAGAGAGAGAGTTTGGGTGGGTTGGTTGGTTGGTTGGTTTGTTGTGAGCGTGTGGGTAGAGAGAGAGAGAGAGAGAGAGAGAGAGGAGTCAGCAAAATTTTGCAAAAACCATATTGAGTGGTATTTGGAACCCTTTTTATACACATCTTAATTCTCAATCAAAACTCGTGGAGTTGATTTTTTTGAGTTGATTTTTTTTAAATTTAGGATTAAAAAATTTGTTTGATTTGATTTTTTTAAATGATTAAGATTTAAATATAATATTTTATCTTATTGACTTAAAGTTGTATAGAATGTCCTATATAAATGTATTTTTTGACTTAAAAAATAGAGAAAAAAAAAGAGGTATGTTTGAAATAACTTTTGACTTTTTACAAAACGATGTATAATAAAATCAAAATGACCATTCTACCTTAGTTAACTTTTGATTTTTAATTTTTTCACTTTTGAGTAATTGAATTTAAATAGCAAAATTGCACTCTAGGATTCCCTATAAATTTCTTCCAAATAGCATGAATTTTTTAACTTTTTTTAATATTTTTTTGATTTTTTAATTTTTGTAAATCATGCCAAATCAAATCTTATTTCATTTATTTTATCTTTTACTTATATTTTTTAAATCTAACTAAGGAGTCTTTTGGAAAGTGGGTTATAATCCACTTCCCAGATTATAACTCACTTCCCTCTATCACAAAAAACTGATTATAGTTAATTTTTAATAAAAAAATTAATTATAACTATCTTTCTAAAATAATCCTAAATTAGCCAAACAAAGGCTAATTCCTCCCTGCCCTTACATCACACCTGCCAATTATCTTCTGGCGCTATTTTTATTTTTATGTATTAAACAAACCAATAATGCTAGAGTGCCACAATTTTTGTGGTCACAATGGCTCAAAATTATCAAAACGACGTTGTTTTGACAGTTTTAAGCCATTATGACCACAAAAATTGTGACCCCAAATATTTTCCTAAACAAATAGTGTCTGTGTTCAAATATATTTGGGAGGTCTTTAATTGATCATTCAGATTGAAAGTTGAGACGTTTTCAGTAGGCTATTAAAGAAAACTCCACACCTTCCCCCGCCCAAAAACTTCTCCTCCTCTCTCACGATAAAAATATGAGAAAATTATTGCCATATTTAGTTTGGTTTTCACAAATTTATTTTAAAAATTTGTAAAAAAACAAAATTAAAAATTAATTTGATAAAAAAATTAAAAATTAAAATAATTATTATTTTTATATAATTTTATCTTTTGTGAAGTCAGAAATAATTTTAAAAATTTTAAAATTATATTTCTTTCATTTAATTTTATTAAATTAGTTTTCATTTTTTGAAAAAATTTCTAAAACACAAACCAAACAAAGCCAATAATTTTGTGTAATTTAAAAATATATATTTACAAATTAATGATAAATTTTACAAATATTAAATAATTAAATTATTTAATTTTCTCATAAATCTATAATAATTTTCTGGAAATACCACTAAATAAGATAAAAAAAAATTAAAATTCAATGTATTTTTAATTTTTTTTTAAATCAATGATAAAATTTATAGACATTAATAATTAAACTCATTTTTTTCATCAATATCGACATTTTGTGAAAATATAGTGTAATTTTCCCATAAAAATATTTTGACATCAAGATTTTTAGAATATTATATGGATTAAATGGTTTGAATTGAGAAAAAAAATTAATTAAAATATATTTATGTATGATGTGAACTGAAATAAATTAATGTACAAATAAAAGCCTCCCCAAAGGCCCTTCTAAATGTCTAGAGCTACAATTAGTGGAACTATGGAAGAAATTAATAACTCATTATTTTTCCTTCTATTTTTATGAAAAAAATAAGAGTATTCTCCAACGATGTAATATTTTCTTAAAACCATAACATTGTAAAAATCTATACTATATATGTAATAGAATGTAGTGTTGTTTTAAAAGACTTCAAAATGTCATTTTAAAATTTTCATAAATTTGAAAAATACGTGGCATCTCTCTTTTGAGTTTATAGCTCTTTTCCTTCCCTCTCAAAGACTTTCATAACAATAAAAACTCATATATAATAGAATATAGTGTTGTTTTAAAAGACTTCAAAATGTCATTTTAAAATTTTCATAAATTTGAAAAATACGTGGCATCTCTCTTTTGAGTTTATAGCTCTTTTCCTTCTCTTTCAAAGACTTTCATAACAATAAAAACTCCTATCCTTCCACCTTTCTCTCCTACCCTACGTTTGTCCTTCACCCTCAAAGACTTTCACGCCTACTCTTCCACTATCCACAATTCCTATCCATAAAAAGTTGTCAACAAAAAAAAAAAAAACAAAACTGATCCAAACAAATCTGTTACTCTCCTATCTCAAACAAATCTCTCCTACCCTCTAACACTTTCAATCCCACTCTCTCACTATCCTACAAGAGATTGATATATATATAAAAAATAACACATCTATCCATATCCCCTTAAACCATTACTTCTAACAATCCATTACTGCAAATGCATATACTTCATCAACTTCCAGTGAATGCCAACAGTCTGCAATCCACCATCGAATGCAAGTCTTGGTTTTTCTTTTTCTTTTTCTTTTTCTTTAATAATTTTTTTTTTGTTCCAAGCATTTGAGATTTTGTATTTTGACTACAAAGATTACAGAAAATTGAAATCTCAAAATTTAATCTATCATGTTTTATTTTGTTTTACAAAATCCAAAATATGTATGTACATACTTGGCTTGAAAATCGGAAATATGTTTTGAAATGAAAATTCTATCATATTAAACATGATTTCAATTCTTTTGTTTTTCTTCATAGTTTTTAATTTAAGATTAAAATTTAATTATTTTCATTACTTCTTTAATTTCTTAGATTGCAAAAATCTATTAAATTTAATACTATATTTTGTTTATAATTTTAGTGGATAAATAATTCAATAAAAAATAAAGTTTAAGATGGTTAAAAGTATATTTTGATAGGTATTTGTAGTGTTCCACCAATAAGATAATGCAAGTTACCATTATATTAACGATACATGTTAGTTTTATTTTTATTTTATGTTATGAAAAATAAAATCAATAATTTTACACATAATACAACTAAATTTATTTTGGGTGGAGTAAGGGGAAATTAATTAATTTTATGTATATTATAAAATCATAACAAGTATTAAATTATTTGTGCATTAAACTCATATTTTTTTTAATTTTTTTTTATATAATTTTACACAACTTTTAAATTTACAAATAATACTCTATTTGGTTTGGAATTTTGAAAAACAGTTTTTTGAGTTTTCAATTCGTATTTTTATATTTTTAGATCCACTTAATCTTGATATACTTAAAAGGTATAAAATTTGTGCAAAAATCTTTAAAAAGATTTATTGAATACAACAAAATACGAAATTGTATTGAATTTTCTTATTACTTATTTATTTTTATTTTTTTTGGTGAATTTTTTTACAAAAAAAATTATATAAATATTATACTTTTTTAGTGTATCTAGATTAGGTATATCTAAAAAAAATTTAAAAACTATGTAAAATATTAAAAAAATTACTAAAAATAAAAACTTAATTTTCTAAAAAGTGAGTTAAATCAAAAGTTTTATATAAGAGAAGTAAAATGATTAAAAAAAAATGAAGCGCAATAGTTAGTGTTAAAGAAGTAATTCTAACTATGGTTTTTTTTTTATTATTTATTTGCATATAGACCACCATCCTTCCATCATAATTTTTTTCAATAATATGTTAAAAACAATATTTAAATAATAAATAAAATATTTAATAACTTTTTTAAATAAAATATTTAATAATATTTTAATTTTGTAATTTAAATCAAAGAACACGCAAGCTTATTGGCAATTGTGTCACAAAACCCTACAATACCTAAGATCGAATTAGGATCAAATACAGACAAACTCTTAAGAGTTCTGAGTATTTAAAATTACATTACCCTTTATCAGATGAACTCTGAGGGTTTTATATGTCTCCAGCATAGTAGTGTCCCAGTGGACTTGTAATTCCTATTCATAACCTAACCCACTATGAGTCTATCATTTAAGGATAAAGCACATTCTTAAGATGTGAAACTTATTTGATCTTGAGCCGACAATTGGGCAAATCTTTTTTTCCCAATTGTTCTCTATTTCTACAAATACTTTTCCTTACTCATTTCGATCCAAAGGCTACCGAGTTATAGAGTAAGGCCTCGCGTCATACTTTATCCAAGTTAAATCGCAATCTAAATCGGCCCAACACTTGTCACAAGTATATGGGATGCACTTGCTCGGCCCAACACTTGTGCTATGCTCCAAGTGTCCAAAGGCTACCGAGTTATAGACTAAGGCCTCACGTCATGCTTTATCAAGTTAAATCGCAAGCCAAATCGGCCCAACACTTGTCACAAATATATGGGATGCACTTGCTCGGCCCAACACTTGTGCAATGCTCCAAGTGTGTGAGATGTAGGGGGTGGTCATTCACCGGGTCGAGTTCAAGCCGGACCAATACTACCAATAAGGGACTTTGTGTGTACTCAAACCTGCCCAGTTTGAATATCGGGTATTTATAATCAACCCAAGTCCAGTCCTAAAAAAAATTAGGATAAACTATCAATTGGTCCTAATAGTTAGACTTAATTATCATCAAGTCTTATTGAAAATAAGTCTTGATAAAATTGTCACTAAAAATAATTTTTTTGTGACAATTTTTTACATTCGTCGATAAAAATTGACAATTAGTGACTTGTCATGATTTTTATAAATTGTCGCTAAAACTTACAATTAGTGACTTTTTTATGATAAATTTTTCCCATAAGACCTATTAGACAATAAATTCACTTATTAAGACCTACACGTAAGTACCCCAATAAATTATAATTCCCAAGCTCATCCATCGGTTCATATACATAAGCTATAAAAAAATAAAAAATAAAAAGAAATTAAACATTATAATACCTGTTATTTTTTCATAAATAAACAAAGGCCTGTAAAGCAATTAACTATTAAAGATTTAATACTGTATTAATTAAAACATTGCAAATTTTTTTAAACCAAAAGCACCCATAATTCCAAAAG